AAGAAAGAAAGAAAGAAAAAGAAAGAAAGAAAGAAAGAAAGAAAGAAAGAAAGAAAGAAAGAAAGAAAGAAAGAAGAAGGGAGGGAGGGAGAGAAGGAGGAAGGAAGGAAGGAAGGAAGGAAGGAAGGAAGGAAGGAAGGAAGGAAGGAAGGAAGGAAGACCTGGTAAGCAGTCAAAATCCATTTTAATATTCCCAGAATTTAGCTAGGAGATCTTGTAGAATTGAAAAACAGCTTGAGTTTCTTCATTGTTGTCATTTTTTAAATGCCCGGATTAGAACATAATTCATCTTAAAATGACGGGAGGCCTCTTCATGTGCTTCACACGTTGAAATATTTTAGAAAACAGTACCGATTTTGGCAAGCCTCTTGCCATGTAAGAAACAACAGCAAATGCTTTTCTCCTCGAGTGTTAAGTCTGTTGTGAATAAGATTATAAAATATAGTTTGCTCTTTTATTTTGCTCGTGTTTGAGGATTTTATCACATCTTTGTGATAATTGATTCTTCTCACATTCCTCATAAGTAGTCTTCATTGTTCCACTTTTTTAAAAAGAGAATTTAAACAGAGCACTGTCCCAAATGAAATTATTCATTCAGTTATTCATTCATGAAACATGTCTTGAGAACCTACTACAGTCTGTGCCAGCCACTAAGTAGACCTGCAGGGTACGTCGGTGACTGTCTCACACACCCTGCCTTCCCGTCCCTGCTGTAGGAGATGTACTGAGAAATACAACATCCAGCGGTCAGTGCCTCGATGGCAAAAAGGGTATGGAGAATTGTCTCTTGCCCAGCCTGGGCGGTCACAGAAGGATGCCCATGCGAAGGGGAGTATGAGATGGGACTACAAGGAGGAGCCCAACCACTCAAGGGAAAGGTGGCAAGAATGGCTGTTACAACAGAGCGAACAGTATTATAAAGAGATAAAGGCAAAAAATATGTTCATCTTTTCAGGTTTTATATGGCTGGAGAAAAGATGCATTTGTGTGATGGAAAGGAAGTAAGCTGACAAATAAGCAGGAAGGAGAACATAAATGTTCTCATTGCCAGGATGAGAACCTGAGCTTTCTCCTTATACAGTGGGACCAAAACTGGTATGTTGACTGCTTCCTTCCTTCCCTCAGCCAAATTTAGCTCTACACAAATCTCCACTCTCCCTAGTCTTCAGTGATCAGAGACCGTGTTGGAATATGTAAGTAAATATGAAGCTATTCAAATTTGGTTGCTCATATCCATCATTACCTTCGCTGTCTCTGCAAGTCACCAAAATCTGTGCAAATGTATATTAACCTGGGGAGATTTTCCAAAGTTTTCATCATATTTGTGAAACTCTAAAAACTCTTAAGATTCACTACTCAATCATATGGCGAGTTTACACTCTTTCCAAAATCAATTTTATCTAAGAATCATTTTATGTCCCTTAAAACCTACCAGTTGCATGTCATCCAAGCAGGTGCAATATTTACTGCATTCTGTTATTTCCAGTGAAAGAACCCTTCACTTTTCCTTGCAGCAGCTGAATCTGTATCTGTAACCAGCTGAGAACTTGGGTCTCACTGCAATTACTGTTCTTCAGGGTTTTAGGATTTTCACCGCTTATATGTGAGAAATTTGAGACAAGGAACAAAATTGAGAAATTAGAATTCAACTTTCGAAGGTTGTGGGAGCACATACAGTAGACAAGAGTGGTGGTGAACCTATGGCAGGTGTGCCACAGCAGACACAGAGAGCACCCTCTGTTGACACTCGAGTCAAGTCACCCTGGCATTGCCCCAACAGCTGACCACTCAGAGTTTTTATTGGCTTTTAAAAATTTAATTAAGTTTATTGGTACATTTTAGATATACATAATGATCACATTCATCATAGGGAATTTGTACCTGTACAGCATTCAGGTTTAATTGCATTGTTGGCACTTTGTGATAAATAAGTGGGTTTGGGGTTGCAGTTTGGGCACTTAGTCTCTAAAAGATTCACCACCACTGCTATACAAATGTGAAAGGTATAATTCCATGGTGAATTAAGAACACTTGTACTACAATGAACAGAGCCAACTCTGCTACCTTAAAGTATGGAAGGAGAGAGAAGCTCGGCATGTTACCCAAAGGCAGAAATGCTGAGGGACTTAAGCTCCACCAGGACTTCTATCTTTCCTCCTCTCTGCTAGCAGCTTCATTCTCTCCCTCAGTTTCTCAGCAGAGCAGCTTTTTCTCATGTGCAGTGTATAGGCAGCAAGCCTGCTAGTTTCAACATCTCACGCAGAATGTTTTTTCTCCCTCTGTCTGTCTTTCTCACAAATTGTTCTAGAATTCCTGGACATAGGTTTATTTGCCCATTCTGCCTTCCATGCAAAACACAAGGCACACTTTCTGCAGCCATGGGGTCAGCAGGAAGGGCATTCTTGGAGAAGTGGACCTGGGCAGGCCAAACACAGACCTCACTCTCTCCAGTGGGAGGTGGTAGGCTCTTTCCCTGGTACTATTGGGGTTATCTGTGGTTTCATTCTAAACATGCATCTATTTTGCATTAGACATGTGGTCAGGTTACTAGAAATAGATATCACTTCTGTCCTGCTTGTAGTTCTGGGCATACCCCAAGATCTGTGCATCTCAGTAAATCATTTGCACTTTCTTAGTCTCAGCTTCCCCTATTGAAACAAAAAGACCAGCATTCTAGAGGAACTTTGGAACATTGTTTAAAATAAGCCCAGGAGCCTAAAATAATATCACTACTGTTTCAGTCACATATTTTTTTGTCAAAAACCTCACACTCGACCCAGAAATTTTCCTGAGGAATTAGAAATATTGTCAGACCCTAGTTTATTTAAATCCCACTAGAATAACTAGAATTTTTGAGCATCAGGAAGAGTCTTAGTTACAAAGTTTTATGCAAGTCAGAAATTAAAACTGCATGAAAGTTTTCAAAATGATGCTTTTAAAAAATATGATGATGACTTATCTTTAAAACATACCTCAGTATGTTTGCATCCAGAAAAACTTTGGGGATATGGCCCTGAGGTGCTGAAGATTTGAAATTCACCTTTGCTTTCCAAACCCAGATCTTCTAATAAATCACCCTCCTGTGTGGGTCCCTTTTGGGCCAAGAGATTGGAGAAGCTCTGGGTGGTAAATGAACAGTCAGTGAGAGACTTCTATTATTTTGGTAAAAAAAAAAAAAACCTCCAGAAGAGGTGTTGCATCCACAAAACCCTCCTGCTGAGACTTCAGCTCTGGGAGATCCTCTGAGCCATTTGAAGATGAGACCAGTCTCCCAGCCTATTGAGAGTTCAGCCATGAAGAATGGGTCTGAGGAACATGAGGAGGCCTGGATAGACAGGTTCAGGAAGCTGGAAAATGCCCTGTACTTGTGTGATCTGAACAATACAGGTGAAGTAGAAACTCCAAAGTTGATGTGCCTTTCTATTAATGTTCTAGCCTACTTGTGGATAGTTTGTTTTCTTTCAGTTCTTGAACGAATAATATAATTTATATATGAGCCCTGTGTCTGACACTAATCTTGGTGAAATCAGGAAATACAGACATGAATGAGAGAAGTAACCGCCAGCGGGTTGCTTATAATTTCTTCTCTCCTCCTATTATTCCTACACTGCTAACAAAGTCTGCCCACAACCCAGTCTTATAAAATACTGCAGGGGCTCTGTGCTGCTGAAGTGCAGGCTCCTTAGCAAGGAAATGTCCAGTCCCTGACCACCTGACCACTCTCCCTTGCTGTTATCATTCTCTTCACATATCCTACTCTTTCCCAAGGGTCTCTGCCTTTCCTAACACTCAGCCTTCCATCTGAACTGTCTCATTCTCCTATCCCTAAACCAACCCCCAATCCTATCTGACTAATTAATGCCTAAACATCTTCTATGTTGAAATTCAAGCACTCCTCTGAGAGTCTGCAGGCAGATTTAGGCCAGCCTTTCTCCAGCTTCTCAGGGTCTTTTAACATCTGTTATCATATGTGATACATTATTTCTTTTGAAGGTCTATTGCTGTCTCAACAGTAGAGTGTATTGCTTTTTATCCCTGGTACTTGGAAAATTCTGTTCAGTATTTTTGAGAAACAACTGAATGCATGTGTATAAATAACTAACCCTAAGATGGAAGAGAATAAATGCCACAAATAGTGTGCTATGTGGGGATTTGAGAAAGGAGAATCTCTTCATGGGGTGGTCTACAAAGGCTGTTAATGTTAACTTGATCTTTAAAGATCAAGGCAATTTGAACACAGAAGAATGGAATTAAGAGGTTTCTCTGGCAAAGGTGCAAGGTTAGCTAAGTAAAGCTCAAAGGAGAGGTTCCGTTAGGACAGAGCCTAGGGCCATTCGCAAGAGTGCTAAACGACGGCAGTGAGGCTGCAGGAGAGGCCACACACTGGAAGGCTTGAAATGCCAGGCCAAAAAATGGAAACTTGATTCAAAGATAGTGACTAGCACTGAGTTTCTTAGCACAAGAGAGATTTGATCAACTTTCTTGAGGAAAATCCTTGATGTCAATGTGCAGAACTGCAGAGAAAGTGAAAGAAGGAAAATCAAAAAGGATGCAGTTGTAGTGTATCAGGTTAATGATATCTCTTAGTTATTGCAGACTGATCAGGTCCACAATCTCCCAAACAAGTGTACGGTGAATGCTAAATAAAAAGAGGCAAATTGAATGATTTTAGGGCTCCAGCAGGATCAAACTATTCTCACAGAATTCAAGATTCTCTTGGGGCTAAGACCAAGGCCTTCTTGGGTCCCCTGTATTTATTTGATTATCAGAAGAAGGGAGGGGAGTACTCAAGAAGAGTGAAACCACACAAGGACTTCTCCAAGTAAGGTATAAGTTAATCCACCCAGGAGTGAGATGTCTGGGGCCATAGTCTTTATCTAGTTGAGATCAGATCCAGGTGTCCTGGGCTGTGATCTCGTCTTATCCTTTGAGGCTTTCCAGCTTCATCTGCCATTACAAGTTTTAGTAGGGATCAGTGACTCACAGAGTTTCACTTACTATAAGTCTGTCGTCCACTTCCAGACAAGCAGCCTAGGCTTTGGAAAGACTCACAAGTAAACACAAAATGCCAATTAGTTAATATAAGTCCTGCTTAGGGCTGCTTTATAGTGGTCTACGTCAGCAGTGTCCAAGAGAGGAAATGAAGTCCAGAACTAGGCCCAAGATTCAGGAGTGGAGAAGAGGAAGAAGGTGCACAGGCACACAGTAGAAAACGCCCCGTGTGGTGGCACAATGCCATATGAAGCGCCCTGTGCTGCTCCTGGCTCACCAGAAGTGCCAGGGGAGTGGCTACATAGCAACATCATCTCACCTTTGTCTTTCTTTTATTATAAATTTCCAAAGCAATATAATTCTAGACCATCTGAAGTAAAACCACCATATAATACTCAAGGATTTTTAATAATTATACCTAAGAAAGAAAGAAAAAGTAACTGAAAACCTTAAGTGAAAGATTCACCTAGATGAATTTAAAATTTTTTAAAAGTCTGTTATGAGATCAGCATTGGGTTAGAGGCTGGACCAAGAGGAAAATTGGAAAGTCTCTGGACTGGAGAATCTGAGTTTAGGTTTAGATGCAGAGACTGGCAACGGCTGAAAGCCAGGAAAAAAAGAAAACAAAAGGAAAAGTCTAGCGTAGAGGAAAGCCTTATAAAGGAAGCTCAAATGAGAGGCGGGGAAAGAAAATGGGTGCTATGTTACAGCTCAACAGGAGAACCCTGCTGGTGTGCAATTGCACAGCACAGAGGCGACAGATGATGATAGCTCACTATCTCAGAAGAGCTACAAGAAAGCGTTCTGAATGTATTCACTGCAAAGAAAGGACAGACATTTGAGAAGATTGGTACACTTGCCCTAATTTGAATATTAAACAAAATGTACATTCACTAAAAATATCACGTGGTACCCCATAAATATGGCCAAGTCTTATGTGTCAATTTTTAAATAAAAGTTTCAAGAGTCAAATGAAAGAGAAAACAGGTAAAAGAAAGCTCATCATTCTATTTGAGCCAGGATACCAGAGAGGTTCCTGGGTGACAAGGGCAGAAGCTAAGGCATGAAGAAAGAGGAGTTCAGGCAGTGGACAGACTATTCTGCAGTTGGAACCATTTTCTGCAAAGGTCAGGAGTTGGGAATGGGTAATCATGGTGTGGGCCACACCTTACTGTGAATCCCCAGGGCTAGAAGCAGGATCCTCTACCCAGAACCCACCAAAAGTCCAACCAGAGCAGGACATAACAAAACCAAGAGGGATTATTTTGGGGAGATTCTGGAGAGAAGGAGATTAAAGTTTATGTAAGTAACCCTGAGTCTAGGCATTTATACCAGGTCTATGAGAGTAGCAATGGGATACAAAGTAAAACAAAACTTAAAAGAAAAAGAAAGCCGAGCGGACAGAAAACACATTCCTGAGGAAACAAATACTGAGTTGTAATGATGGGTGATGAATCATAAAGTTAGTTGCTAAGGGACTCCCCAAAGACTGGGACCTTTCTCATAGGAACTAAATAGTTCTGAGGAAAAACAGTTTTGTTGACTTTGGAGGCAGATTCCTACAGATCTGAAATGCTTTTCTCATGGCCTCTTCATTATTTATGCCTGTTTTCTCTGTTTCTATGAAATCCATTAGTTCATCAACGCCAAGGAATTTGTTAGCCAGATGTGGGAATATCCACCACTGTCGTTAATGAGGACAGGGGATTAACTGAGGTCATTCTGTTGGTTTATTAGCTACAGTGTCTAGCAGCCCACGAAGGCCCCCTTCTAGATGTAGAGCAGAGGGCACATACCCTGCCTGCAGATGAATCACTATTCTTTATTATGTGCAAGAAAATATGTAGGCCAGGGTGTTCTTCATCCAGGGTGAAGGGAGACCATCCATCATCAAATCAGTGTTTCTGGGAACCTACCGGGCTTATTCTCTAATGAGGGTTTTCGAGAAAGTAGCCTCGAGGAGGAGGGGTAAGGAATGACTGAATAACGGGTTGTGTGTTTTAAAGAAAGGAGGTCAATTGGGATAAATGTCTGAGCAAATGGTATACTTGGAATTTTCCCAGTAAACCAAAGGCTAGATAGAAAATACTTCAAGTTCAAGGAGTCAGAATGCTTTACAGGACGTTGTCTGCAAGGCCTGTACTCTGCATCCACTTCTTACTAAAATCTCACAATAGTCACATAATGCCAGATTAGCACCGCTACCTCCAGGGAGGAACTCAAGCCCCATCGTAAAGTCATCTGCTGGAGTAATTTGAGCCATAATTCAAATCTAGCTCTTGCCTTCTCTCACAACTCTCAAGACTTATGAAACAGAACATGAGGTTTTGCTCTTTTTTAATCAGAAGATTTATATTCAAGTCCAGACTCCACCAATTGTTTAAACTTGAAACTAGTCACTTAAGGTCTCTGAGTTTGTTTCAACTATAAATGAGAACTAATAATAACAAAACAGACCTCCCAGATTTGAGAAAGGGTCAAATTTAAAAGTTCTTCATCAATGGTAAAACAAAGTGATGTCAAAGAGGTTCATTTTATTTCTTTCATTTCACCTCAGGCTAGCTAAGGGCAAGCTTTCCACTCTAGGGTGGTGTAAGGCTGCCACCTGGCATGCCTGAGGCCTGTGAAGGCACAGACTGAGTGGGACAGGTGCATTAGGAACCCACTACCAATGGCAATGCTTGGAAGATAGAAAACACTATATACTCCCTAGGTGAACTTTTTAACATCACTCATCATCTCTAGTTAATATATAAACTAAGTGCTACATATTTTAATAATTTCTTTATATTAAAAAACATCTTTATGGACTTTAAGAAATGACTATACCCTTATCATAATAACATAGTAATATTTGGCATTTATGAGTGCTTAGTGGCTGAATACCTTTTCATTTATTGATTTTCACTGATATTATTATCTGTATTTTAAATTTGAGGAAACTGAGGCTGAGAAAGTTAATTTAACTTTCTTAAAGTCTTCCAGTCAGAACCTTACTCCAAAGCCCATGGGCTACGTTTCCAGAGGAAGGAAGGGGCAGGGGAAATGTCTCCGTGAGCAAACCTAGGCAGGACTATAAACAGCCATCTGACCCAGAGGATTTCAAAGATATGTTTGGCAACTGCTAAAATGAGGTTCATTTGGAGCAAAGGGGCATTCTGATGGAATAAACAGACAACAGGTGAGCCAAAAGAGTGTAGACACCAAACTATTGCAATGGAAGGCTAGGACGCAATGAGATGGAATGCATGAGAATGGAATGAGTCACAGAGAGATGCCTACCACCTGTAGCCTCTGTAAGGACACCTGCTGAGAGCAGTTCCCTGGGCCCATTGTGCTCCACAGCCCTTGCACTTGTAAATACAACTTGAGTTACATGACAGGTATCCACAGCTGCCCATCTTTGGTGGATAAGTAGTGATTCTCTACCAAACAACCCAGCCATGGTCTTTGGATTCTTTGACAGAGAATTTTGCAGGTAAAGCCTGCACAGGTAAAGGATAGCAGAAGAGCAACATGTTTCTTTAATTTCTATATAAGATATCAAAAGTGGAATATCACTGACATCTGTGGAATAGATTTTGATAAATCAAGGAAGCGCAGGAAACAACAGGACTGGACTGGAAGTACTCTCCTCTCACTCTTGTCAGGATTCAGTGCAGGGGATTATCTTGCCTAACCTTAGACAAGAGACTGAGCAACCCAGGCCCAGAGCAAAATGGGCTGGGGTGAGGATTAAATGAGTTAATATTAGTAAAGTATCTGCAGCTGTGCTTGGTACATATTAAATTGTATATGTAACTTTTAGTCATTACTATTATTATTATTACTACATTCTATCAATTTTTTGCATGATTTATCTTCCCAGTAGGTCAGGAGAGCTTCCTGAGGTAACAGCACACTTCTCTAAATTCTGTATGTTCACATACACGTAAGTGCACAAGTAGAAGATCAGGCATGAGTTACTGATCTTTGGTGATGCTGTGATCTGCACTTAAACTCCCTTCAGCAACTATCAAAAGTGGCCTTACCTTAATGCAGAAAACATATTAACATAAGCACATTGGCACTGCCATAGAAACATGTGGGTACCAAATATTTTTTACTAGCCCTATCACACAGGTTCAGATGCTTAGACAACTTACCTGTGAATTACAGAGCAAGCTAGAGAGTCACAGTAAATAAATGTCCAAAAATGAATTTAAACTGAGCTGTTCAAACCCTGCGTGTTCAGGAAATATTTGGATAGTTTAAGATAAAAATAAGCCAGAATATTCAGAAATTATTTTCAGTATGTACCCCACCTCTTTCAAAATTTGGCTTTAAAAGTTATATGGTAACCAATAAAACAAAAAACAAAACAAAACAAAACAAAAAATAAAACAACAAACAAAAACCTAAGATAAAATTGCTTTAGTACTTATCTACGGTTTTTACTGGACTCCATGTCCCCCTCTTTTCCTCAAATCACCTTAAAATCCTTCCTGAAATCTATGACACATATCCAGGACTGCAAATATTTTGAAAATGTCGCTTTGATTTTAGAAAGCTCAAAGTTTCAAAATATTAGTATTTATTGTCTACCCAGAAGCCACTCGAGCTAAGATCTATTTTTCTCAGCTCTCCCTTTTCCTCTTTAAAAAATCCTTCTTCTATCCACCCTACGCAGTCACAGGAAATCTGGTGAAAAAATGAGCCAGACACCTCATTTACAACTACAATCTCGTTTACAACCTGTCCCTGAGCCCTCCGAAAATCGACCAGGCTTTGCGAAGATTCCGTTCCGGAGAAAATCTGCTGTTAGAGCCAGCACTGCAGTACTTGAGACAGCTATGACACCAGCACCTGCGGTGAGAACAGATGTTTCTCTGCCCCCTCCCCCTTCCCAGATGCATGTTTCTCTCAGCCTGAATGTGGTGGTAGAGGCCTGGCAGTGTTAGATAATGCAGCTATCCCGGACGCTCCTGAGGTATACTTGGACTTTGGCTATGACCTCACTCATGACCTTTCAAAATGCAAGATAAGCCAGGTTTTCTTCTCTGATGTGGCAAAAATCCAATTACTTAAAGTCTTCTTTTATTCTAATACAATTTGTTATTAATATGATATATTTGATTTTTTTTCCATATTGCTTATCTTGTTTTGCAAACACCACAACCCCAAGATTCAGTATAGTAAAAATGATGCTAGAAATTGTCAACATCTAAAAAAATGCCTTGTACACAGAGGGCCTAAATTTGTAAAGTAACCCCTTTCCTTAGTCCCTATTCTAGGAAGTATTGACATTATCTGAATGCTACGTATAAGAGTAATCCCAAGTGAGATTTTTCTGAATGAGTTCAGTATATTCTCCATGCAAAACTAGATAATGTGACACTGTCTTCGAGAATTCTGGGTAGAAATTTTGAGGAAGGACTCTTGGGATGGAGGACTCTGGAAATAAATAATATACTCTGCTCTCTCAGAGCAAGAAGACCAGGGTAAATTTCCACCCGTTCCCACAGTTCTGTCTTGAACTTGCTTGTCCTTACTCTGCTCCTCCCACAAAACAGTTACACACACTAGTGTTGACAGGCTCATTGAAGGAACACCAGCCTGGAACTTAAAAAACAAGGTGCACCGTTTATGGTATTCCAATCAGGATGGTAGACAAGATGACTGAGTTAGGTCAAGGGGAAAAGCAATCAGAAAGCCTCTAAACATTCCCCTTTATCTGTTTACATAGTAGGTGTGCTCATGAAACCTGTGAAAAAAACTTCACAAGGTCACTTCTGTCTACTAAAAATAATGCTTCAGTTTTTATAACCCTTGAGTTGTCCATAAATGCATCTTGAGGCAAACTTACTGCCTCCTATCTCCCTGGAAACTATGGACCTGTTCACTGCCTTTTAGGTTAGAGGACTAAGCAAGCAGATGTAGCTACTGAAACCTCAAGAGAGAAAAATTAGAATATTATGGTCAAAGAATTTAATTCACTGGATAACTACTATCTGCCAGGAACTTGGCATATTTTATTTCATCCCACTTTGACAACTCAACATGACAGGTTTTACAGCTCCATTTTGCAGATAAGGAACCAAGGCTCTGAGATGAGAATGGTAAGAAAGCTACTGAGTTGTATTTGCTAACAATTTGCCAAAGAGAGGAGCTTCCAAGGGAGCACTGGCCAAAGGAGATACAGGAAGTCCCTGTGTACCTTCCTCTCTGCAAGCAAGGGGGCTGGAGAGGCAGGCTGGGGAAACAAAAAGTTGGGGCTGTCAGACTAAACCATGGTGTCCTCAGCAGCCATGATTTCACCTTGCTTCTGCTGAATTACACATGTACAGCACCCAGTACAGTTGCTGGCTCTTGGCCTCAGTGCTACCAAGTTCCACAGAGGGAGGTGATGCCTTCCACATGGAGCATAGCATGAGAGCTGTCCCTAGAGCTATGTGAGTACAGGCAGCCCATAACCGGTTCTCTCACAGTATTGACTTGCTGAATTCCTCACTAAGGGAAGCATCCATGGCAAGATCATGACCTTCAGCCACCTTCACCATCACTACCAGCCACAGACAGACCAGAAGAAGAATTGGCTTTCCAAACAGCCATAATTCAGCAGTGCTCTTGGTAGGTGGTATGTTAGGAAAGTGCCTAATCTCCCTAAACTTCAGTTTCTACACCCATAAAATGGGAGCCATTGTACTTGTTTGCAAGGGTACTGCTCCCTGCTGAGAGCTATTCCCTTTAGACAATTCTTTGCAAGTAGGATAGATATGCCTTGCTCATATCCCTTGTTTAGTTGCTGAGCATTCAGGAAGCATAAAAAATTGAACAATGGTCTGTGTGCATAGCACAGGAAAGCCAAGATATCATTATTGCTAAAGCAAATTTTGAAATATATTTTGGTCCTCTACTCCAAGGAACAATTTCTCTTACATCATCTCCTGTCTAGAATTCTCCACTAGCTGGTCCGAAGGTAGTGAGTTATCTCAATTGATTGTTCACAGTCAGTTATAGAATTCTCTACTGCTTTACGCCAAGCTCTCTTTGTGCCAACAGAAAATACTCTGACACTTGTTTAAATGGTAAGGCAGACTTTATTCAGAACTATCATAGCAAGCAACCTGGATACTGCAATGGTGCTGTGCAATGGGGGCAGATATTGAGCTCAGCTCCAAATACAATCAGGGAAAAGTGGAGATGATTAGGCAGCAAGCAGCAAGGCAGGGTGGTAGGTGATTTAAATGACTACAAAGAAAGAGGAGTGAGGGAGATTCTGACTCAGAACCTGTCAGTCACTAAACCTCCGGGGCAAGCAGGCACCACCTGGGGAGGGCAGATGACTAGCGTTTGGTGAAGAAGAGCATAAGTGTGAGTGAGTGTGGAGGTGGGAGGGTGGTCATTTACAAGACTTACACACTGCTAACATCACTGATTTTTCTCTGTGTTTACATTATAAGAATGAAAAGTTAATGTAAGTTATAGAGAAAGCCTAGGATAGCAAAGTGACAAGTGACTGTAGAAGTTGCCTGAGGACTAGAAGCAAACAGAAACATGCTATGAAGCCATTATGCTTCAGAAAACCAGTGCTGGGATTTCCTAGTTTACTTGTGGAAACAAGTAAACTGATGACCTCAGTGCTGGGATTTCCTAGTTTACTTGTGGAAAATCTGTTATTTTCTCTCCTTTTTTCTCAGATAAGTGGCATTTTGCATATTCCCAGTGGCTGTGCCATTGCGGGCTTCTGGTGAAGCCCGGGGAGAAAAGCTGGTGTCTGTGGCCCAAGCAGCCTCCTCTAGCAGAAATGTCTTGGGTGGTGTCTGTGTAAGACAGACTTGCAGGCCAGCAACAGGCCCTGGTGAGCCTTAGAGTCGACTCTGCGTGCCCCAGCTTTCCCTGAGCTCAGTCTTGAGGGTGGAGAGGGGACAGGGAGCAACAAATGGAGCCATGTCTGAGCAGTGAGCTGACACTCCCAGCTTTGTGGCCCTCAGAAGTCCAGTACCTGCCTAGTAACACACTCATGTAAACTGAGACAGTACTGCAGATTGCCCAGCACTGTGCCTGGGTTGCAGACACATCTCCTGCAGAGCAGTGAGCATATTTCACTGTTCCCCACCCAGAGCCAGATCGCTAGATGCCTTTTCCACGTGCAGACACTTTCCAAGTCCACAGATGGCTACTGACTGTGCTATCCTAGATAGCAGACTGTCTTCCACATTCCAGATCCTCATTTTCCTGCCTACATTTATTCCTCACAACAAACAAACTAGGCTGGCATTGCTATACCCATGGTACAGATGAGAAACTGAGGCTTGGGGCAATGTATGTACTTACTCAGGCCCAACAATCAGTGAGTGATAGAGCACAATTAGAACCCACTTGTGCGCCACTTTGAGAACACAGCTGAAGCCCATAACCCATGGAGTTCTCAGCAGCGTACCTGGCTGTCTCTGCAGCAGATCCGGAGGGAGGCCCAGGCCAGGGCCAAGACTTCCCTCTTCTTTGGCTCCAGCACAGAGCCTGACTCTCCATCAGTGGGCCCTGGGGAGAAGCTGTTGGGTAAACCGTTTGAAACCTCAGCTGCTTCTGCCCTCTTCCAGTCCTCCCAACTCCATCAGGGCCACTGGGGCAGGGGGGAAGGGTTTCCAGGTGCTTAGAAGAGGTACTCACACTGCCAGAGCACAAGGTGGAGACAGCACAGGCAAGCAGGTTGCTAAGAGCCAGCTGTCTCTTCAGAGGAATGCCCAAGATCATTAAGGGGAACAGTGAAGGGCCTGATATTCTAGTTGGGATCAAAAACTGACAGTGTTGGAACTTGCCAGGAAACTGTGAGTAGCCTCTGAGAGCAAGTGTGTGCCTTTCTTCTCCACTCCCTTGAGAGCCTTTCAGCCAGCTCAGCAAGGACATGAAGGGAAGGGAAGGGAAGGGAAGGGAAGGGAAGGGAAGAGTGTGGGTAAAATTCACCATTACTTCCATGCTGGATTTATTGTCCCTGTGCTTTTGTTATTGTGATCACACTGATAACCACACCAACACTTTCCCCAAGTGACTTGAGTTCCAGAAGGCCCTGACTATTAAGAACCTACTACTCCTCAGCCAAACGTATGACAAAGTCCAGTGCAAAGTGGGATCTTTCAGAGCCTGAGATTTGATCCACATGACTCCACTGGAAGCAGCATATGGGACTCATTACTCCCTGTGCATCCTGGAGGGCTTGATCTGAGATCAACCCTGTGTGACAGCCTCTCCTTCCTTAAGGCATGCCTTCTGCCCTCAGAACAACACAGCATGACCAAAATGGGTGGAATGCGAGAACAGTGACCATTTGCACATGAGGATGCTAACATTCATAGCAGTGTCCTGACTCTGCTGAAGCTGCAGGAGGAGTTAGAGACAGTCATGAGGACAGAGCCCTTCTCCTCTCTTGGTGACCATTCCTTGCTTGCTCTGGAAGTCCCAGTGTACCCTGACTTGTTATCCAGCTTCCAGCATAGGTCTGCCCTTGGAGGGGGCAGGGTGCAAGGAACTTCACCCTGTGGTCACACACAGTGTGCAGTTTTTGGGATTACTTCCTGCCATCTCTTACCAAGGTCACTGAATGTAAGGGAATGGAAAATGAACTACTAGTATCAATCACAGCTTGTGGCTAGTTCTATGATCCCATCTAACGCCAGTCATCGCCCTTAGAGGTGGCAATTATATCCACAAGCTAAGGTGAGGCTCAGGAAAGAATGCAATAGCTGTGGCTTAGCCGCAGATCTTCCCAGCTCCAAAGTCTGTGATGACCCCACCCCAGGCTGGGCTGGGGGGACCAATCACTATCTTAAGACAGTTTTCCTCTGTAGCTTCTACTT